CTGTAACCCTAGCTACCCGGGAGTCAGAGGCTGGAGGATGGAAAGTTCAAGGCCAGCATGGAGAACTTGGAGAGACCCTGTCTCAAAACAAAGCTTAGAGGACTAAAGAGATGGCATTGGTGGTTAGAGAGTGAAGAGAGAAAGCTTGGGGACTGGAGTGTGGATCCCCAGAACCCACACACATGCTCACTAGGTGTGGTGCACCACCTGTAATTCCAGCTTGGAGAGCAGAGAAGACAAGGAATTTCAGAGAAGGCTAGCAAGACTAGACACACACACACACACACACACACACACACACACACACACGAGCTCTAAGGTTGATTGAGAGACCCTGCCCATTGAATAAAGATGGGTGAGCCATTGAGGAAGACTTCCACATGCATATACACCCCCATGTGTGCAAACAGATATATATACCTCCTACACATGCATTTATGCATGCATGTAAAAATTGAAAACAAAATAAATGACAAAAAGCAAAAAGAGGGCATGTAGGGGGTGTAGCTTGATGACAGAGTACCTGCACAGTATGTGTGAGGCCCTGACTCCTGCAGTGGAGATGAGGTAGGGATAGAAGCGTCTGCAGACCTTCACTGTGACTGTGGGGACCAGTGGGGCCAGATGATCCCAGATCCTAAACTCGCTTTATGGGATGGTTGTGTTGTGGGATGGTGGAGGGCATGCTGCCTTTACAAGAGCAGAGCGGAAGCGGCCATCTTGCCCGCTGTCATTCCAATCCGTTGTAATTAATAATGTTGCAAGATGAGATGACCACCTGAGAAAGCTTAACACTGGGATTAAGAATCAAGTCAGGTATGGTGCATACCTTTAATCCTAGAATTCGGGAGGCAGAGACAGATGGATCCTTGTGAGTTGGGGCTAGCCTGGTCTACATAATGAGTTCCAGGGTAGTCATGACTACTACATAAAGAGACTCAGTCTCAAAAAAGAAAGGAGAAAGAAAGAAGAAGAAGAAAATAATCCACCAGGGAACCAGGGAGATGGCTCAGGGCATCAGAACGCTGGGCTATGCTCACCTGCAAGCTCCCAGTGTTTGCTGGCTGACAGGCTAGCTCCAGGGCCGGTGAGAAACCCTGTCTCAAGGGAGAGTGATAGTAGAGGAGACACAAGGACCTTTTCTGGGCACTAGAAGCTCACACAGGCATGTGTGCACACATGTTCAAACACATGACTACATGACACACACACATGGCCATAAGCAATAAAATCAAAGCCAATTACCTTATAAAAGAACAAGCCAAAGAATGAACATGGTTCAAAGGTCAAGTACCACTGGGCTCCTAACTCCACACAGGCAAAGGGTCTCTCTACAGACCCTTCTCAGTCCCCCCCGACCCCCCCCCACTCAGGGCATTTTACTTCATTTAAATATCTACAGTATGACATCTAAAAACAACTAAAGCAGTAACTCTTAGGAAGGGGAAGAGAGAAATATTTGCAACACAAAATTTTAAAAAACATCCATCCATCAATCAATCAAACAAACAAACAAAAACACCCTCCAATGCATTGTAATCTATCTGCAAGGAGGCTTCCTCTGTCTTAGTTGGATGCATTGAATACATTGAATAGGGACACACCGAGAGCTTTACCACTGAGGCCCCGCCCACACCTGCAGGGGCATCCTGCTTGGTGGCTACCTCTAACACAGTACATCCTAAAATAAGCCCAATATATCTTCTCTCTTTCCCTCTGAATCAGGTCTCACTCTTCAGCCTGCTTCAGCTTCTGACTCTTGGTCCTCCAGTCTCAGCTCCCGAGCACTGGGATTACAGGAATGTGGAACCACACCTAGCCCTTAAGCCTGATTCCATGAAAACCTAAGAAGGTCAGTTTCTATTTCCAGATTCACAAAGCTAATGACAGGGATGGGAAGGAGAGATGTGACAGGTCCTTGAGCCTAAAGTCACATCTAGACTGTGATGCTAGGGCTCCAAAGGAGAGAAAAATGGTACCTGCATGGCACTACCTCCCAGGCTTCCACTAAAACAGTGGTCCACAGATCTGCTGAACCCTTGAGCCTGCAGGGCTGAGCTGTGCTCTCTGGGAGGATTGGGTCTATCAGCCACGGCTGGTGTGTCTAATCGCGTCCATCTTTCTTCCGGTGTTTGTTACTGGGTGTCATGCATCCACCTCCAGTCTCACATCATCCTTCATGTTTCTCAAATCCACTAGATGCAGGGCCTTTGCCCACGCTGGCCCTCTGTCTGTGGAACTCCCACCTTCCTCTCTGTCCTGAGTGACTTCCCCCCACACATAGTAACCGTCTGGTGGAGAAGTGAATGAGTCCTGCCTGCCTATTTTCTGGTGTATCCACCTGATCTCCTTAAGTCAGAGGTCATGTGTCCTCTCACCACAGGGGCCCCTTTTCACACTGGCATTCTGCTACACCTTCTAGGCCACTCACCAAGGTATCACAGTATGACAAGAGGGTACCGTATTACTAGGAGGCATTGCCTAACTCATATCTTATAAGGAGACAATCCAGGAACTTGTCTAGGTTTAGCATTATTAGTTGAGGGTGAGAAGCAAACACATCCTCATAGCTGCCAAAATGGCCAACCACTAATACTCAACATCTGACCCAGTAGGTCCTATGGTACCAGTTGATCCTATCCTAAACAGCCCAGATGAACTTTCAAGGTTAATATTCAAATGCATACACTTCCCTAGCATAGCATGCTGGCTGTTACTGTGGAGTTCTGTGGCTCAAGGAGCAGCCATCTGTCCCTGAGTTCTCTCAGAACTGCAGACAGAGGCAGGACTGGCTGCACATAGCCTATGCTGTACCAATTTGTACCTGGATGTGACATTTTACATAACAGGCCCAGTCATGTCTAGGTTCATGAGCCCAAGCATAGATTGTCAAGAGGCCACATGATGTGGGATTCCCCTCTGTATGCTGTGAATACCATTGGTGAATAAAGAAACTGCTTTGAGCCTATAGCAGAGTAGGGCAGAACAGAGGTAGGTGAGGAAAATTAAACTGAATGCTGGGAGAAAGAAGGCGGAGTCAGACAAGTCCCACCAGAGACAGCGCTGGAACTATACCCCCCCCAAAGCCTAATGGTGATGCGCAGATTAATGGGGATGAGTTAATTTAAGATATGAGTTAGGCAGAAATATGCTTAAGCTATTGGCCAAACAGTATTGCAAATAATATGGTTTCTGTGTGATTATTTTGGGGCTGAGCAGCCGGGAACAAACAAGCGGGCTCCTACTACAGGTCTCTGCAGAGCCCCTGCTCTTGTAGCCTGCCAGACATGGGGTGGGGGAGGGGAGGCATGGCAGCATACATCCTGTAGGTGCTGCTAGATGGCCATCTAATGTTAGGCAGCTAAATATCAGGGGGCTTATTGGCCGCTGAGGATGAACCCCCTCCTTCCTGTTTCCCTGATAATGCTACAAACCGAACATTTAATTACCTCCTTAAGATGTAAAACACCAAATAAAAGGGTGAAGGAACCTTGGCTTTGTTGAGGCTCATTAAGGGAAAGCTAATTCCTCCTGGTCAACAGAATAGAAGTTCCACCCCTGGCTGGTGGTGGAGCTCTGACATCCTAAGCTACCCCAAAGCATGGCATAGTCTTGTCTCCTCCTTTTCTAAAGAGTTAATCCAATGGGGCCTGTCAATTGCCTGGCCTGAAGTCTACCCCCCTCACCACCCTCCCCCCCACATCCAGGAAACCTGATTCTCCAGAAGACACGCTAAGAAGAAGGGAGAAAGAGTTATCCCTTAAGGAGATGGTGCACTGCCCTTCCTGGAAGCGCCTTCCTTGGTGAAGTCTCTGGCTGAGCGTCCATCTTACACAGCTTCTGGGAGAAGCACTAGAGTCAGCTGCTCTGATCCTACCTCGGGAAAGCAGGCCTCCTTTTTCTCACCAGCACCCTGGGCTTTCGCTCCCCCCACCTCTCTCTCTCTCTCTCTCTCTCTCTCTCTCTCTCTCTCTCTCTCTCTCTCTCTCTCTCTGAAACCCTCCCCTCCTGGAAGGCAACTACTGGTCACCTCCAGTGCAAAATGTATGGCTTTCTTTTCTGCTTCTCCCTCCTTCTGGTACCTGCCAAGACTTTCAGCTTGTTTGCCCTGTTGATTTCTCTCACATTCTGATAAAATCGTCCTTGGGCTGCCTTCTGAGTCCATTCTTAAATTCATTTATTAACGACACTAAGAACCCAAAAGGGAAACCTTTAGTGCTAGTCCGCCGAAAGGGGATCACCTGCAACCTTGGCCCTACTGCTCTGGGAACAGAACAGGCAGGCAGCACTAAGGAACAAAAGAGCCCTGTGTTGGGGGCTGTGGGCTAGGCAGCGCTCTTCCCAGCAGGAGCACTCACATTACCGTGGGGGACTTGGGTTGGAGGCTAAAATGCCCCTGCTCTAACATTAACACATTAATCTACACGCAGGAGGCTGAGACAGGAGGATGCCTTGAACTCAAGACCAGCTTAGGCTACAAAGTAATTCTCTCTCTCTCTCTCTCTCTCTCTCTCTCTCTCTCTCTCTCTCACACACACACACACACACACACACACACAGTCTAAAGACTAAACCTCACATAGAGTACAACTTTAGAGACCCAAGCATTTTTTTTTCTCTCCCTAATAAAATTCTCAGTACAATTCTGGGAGACCGAGTCAGTGCCAGTCAATGCCCCACTTGTGGGTGGGGAAGAGGACCTTGGAGTCACCGGCTTTAGCTCCCAGGCTGGTTAACACAGGGGCACCAAAGCCTTTCTCACGCTCAAGACAGATCAAAGGAGAAAAAGACTGCCCCAAGCGAAACTCCCCCAAAGAAATCTTTTCTTTACAGAGAAGATGATAGCAAAGGACATTTTGTTACTTCTTGGAAGTTCTTCGGCTTCCAAGGGCTGCACAACTCAGCAGTTTTCTGTAATTATCACTAAAGTATTCGGCCTGGTTCCTGCCTCCTTCGCACACTTTCACACAGATAGGAGCACCAACTAGCTCAGTAGTTACCTGAGCTCCGCGACGAGCAGGTGCGCAGCCCCTGGGCCCCTGTAACCCCGGCCTTGGCTCCAAACTCTGGCAACGTCTCCCAAAGCCCCCAACTGCAGTCACAGAGGGGAGCAGCCCCGCTCTGAACAAGCCCAGGCAAGCCCAGGCACAGCCCCTGCTCAATCCTCCTACAGGCACCGCGAGGATCCGGGGATGGAAGACACCTCTCTAGCCCGGCATCACGTGAGTTGGGGGTCGCTCCAGATAGTTGGTGCAGCCACATCTCCATCACATGAAAAAATAAAGGGGGCAAGATGGGCCAAAGGCAGAGCGCGCGAGGGCGGTGCTACCGAGCGCTGCCTCCACCCCCCCCTCCCCGGAAGGCACTGCGGTGCGCCGGGGTCACGCTGGTCTGTGAGCTGGCCAGGCCGGGGGAGAGGTGGCCGGACACGGCAGAGACCAAGCAGCCGGGCTGGGGTCCTATTGCGCGAATTGCAGATATTGGGTTCCGGGCCTCCGCCTCCGCTCCTTTGCGGCTCTGCAGCTCTGCCGGGGTTGACTCTTCCCCAGCAAGAGCTCAGAGTTTGCGCAGCGCCCCTCGCCTCATCTCGCTGCTCAGTCCCAGGGCGTGCCACCCTAGGGCCGATATCAGTGTGCACTCCGGCCATCACGATCCTTCCGGGGACCCCTCGCCTCTCTGTGTTGAGACCGAAGCCCGAGTGAGTCTATAACAAGTAAACAGAAACCACGAGGACACGCGCCACAATGCCCAGCTCGCGGGGTAGCTCCCTGGGAAGAGGGCAGAAGAGTCTCACGTCCATGTCACTAAAGTATGGACGCGTCCTCTGCGACATTGTCAGCTAAGAATGGTCAGATGTCCTACACAGCCCCAGATTCTAAGGCCAGGAACAAACACCCTGCTGAGGACACCTCCCGTTTGACCTGCCTGCGTCCTGTCCCACTCACCGTGCGCCAAGTTCTGGCACCCAAGTTCTGGCACCGTCAGACGCTGGGGTAACCCAGCTCACCTCTTAGCTCTGCGAGCTGGTCCCAGGAGTGAAGAAGGCGCACCGCACTGGGTGCACGGCGCTCTTGAGCTGGGAGCGCAGGGCGAGAGACCACGAGTGGGGCAGGGCTTTTGTACGAACTCAGACTGAAGTACAGAGCTGAGAGCTGCAGGGAGGAGTCTGGGCAGTGCGCCAGGCACGCGCCTCCCATTTTGCACGGTTCTTCTCTATCCAGGGTCTATGACACAGGACTCCCTTGAAGTTCGTAGAGATTCCCAGAATGGACAGTCCTGAAGACCCGTGGGAAGGGGACAGACCCATGGGAGCACTCATATCTGGGTGCTCCATCCCCACTGGCTTTTCTGTACCCTAGTTTTCTCCGAGAACTACCAAAATGCCTGGATGTGAGAAGCTAACGGTAAGATAGACACACTGTCTAGATAGCAGATTCCAACAAGAGGAAACTAAAACGCCCAGTCCATACTCACTCCCCCATCCTCGGAAGCAGCGTCAGTCTAGACCCCCTTCTCTTATTAATGACGTCACTGTAAAAATAAGGTTTCCCCCTCCCCCAATGTCGGGAACACATCCTGGGCCTTGTTCCTGCTAAGAAGCAGATCCCAAGCTCTCGATTTTGTTTTGTTTTTGAGGCTATGTAGCACAGGCTAGCCTTAAATTCATAATCCTCCTGCCTCGGCTCCTTGCTTGCTGGATTGACAGAGATGGGCTTTGATACCCGACTAAGGAGGACTGTTTTGGGGAGGCCTCTCTGATAGACAAGCTCAGTCCTACAAGAACCTTACAATAATCAATCCACAGTTGGAGCCCTGCACCTGGCCTCCAGGCGACATAGGAGGTCTCTAGAGAGAGGAAATTTCAGAAAAGCATGAACAATGTCAACTGAGCCCCCAGGAACACCGGGCCATGTCCCCAGACACAGGGGTCACGTGGTGCTCCAGGAGAACTTGGTGTCTCCGATATGACCCCTGATGCCAGAAGTGCTTATGGCTACTGCTCGCTTTCCCCTCTCACATGATCTATAGCGAGCGCCCGATGTCTCTACATCCAAGTCATCCAGGAGGCCAAGGAATACTGGCCACCTGTGAAGATATGGTGTAGGAAGGGGGAGATTTTCAAAAGTGTTCGAAATGCTCTAGAACTAAATAACGCGATGGCTGTATGAGGTAATGGTTTGGATGTGTTATTCCCCATAGTCTGGAGCATTTGAGGGCTTGGTCCCAGTTCATATCATTGTTTGGGGAGGTTGCACACATCTGTAATTTTAGCGTTCCTATGGTGAGGTGGGAGATGGAGACAGAAGAATCCCTGTAAGTTCTTGGGCTAAAACAAGAGGCCATGTCTCAGGCAAGGTGGGAGGTGAGGACCTCAGGTTGTCCTCGAACCACTACACCTGTGCTGTGGGGTGCACAAGCGTGCGCGCGCGCACACACACATGCACAAGATTGAAAAGGAACAAGTGAAGGGGCCTTAGCAGCAGTTTGCTTGTCCAGCACCGGGAGGCCCCATAGTCTTTCCCTAGCATCAAAAGAAGAAGGGGGACAAAGCCATCTTTGCATTATTTCTTCCTGACACAACTGGTTCCCTGAAAGTTTACCCACTCCCCTATACTATTTTCCCCTAAGATGCCTTAAGCAAAACTCGGGTGATTCGGCAAGCCTCGTAACAGACTGCAGCTTGTTTCCAGGCATTTCCGACGGAACCAGCTTCCAAGTTCATGTAGCGAAAATCCAAGCCTATAATGTGCTTTCTCTACTTTCAGTTACAGTTTTTCAGTTTGGTAGTGATATATCATTTATATTTTCATAAACAAAGCTTGCCTGAAGGTCAGTTACCTTACAGACCAGGCAGTGGTGGCACACACCTTTAATCCCAGTAGCCACACTAGTTTCCCATAGAAACCACCTATAATCTCAGCCTTAGAGAGGATTATAAAACAGGAGGAGACAGACCTCAGCCTCATTCTGAGGATTCCTGGAGGCAGGATCGCCATTTCGGACTGGGTAAGAGCCAGTGGCTGGCTGCTTTGCTTTTCTGACCTTCAGGTTGAACCCCAATATCTGTCTCTGGGTTTTCATTCTTCGTGCTACACAGGTTGAAACAAGAGCAAGTGCTGCCCCTAGCCTTGCATTTATGGGACCACAGCGGGATTTCAACCGATTTACTGTGCACCAGTTTTTTCTTTCTCTGGTCCCTCTGGCCCACAGGCCAGGTAAGCAACCCCTGAAGCCTCTGACCCTGCCCTGCGCTCAAGGGAGAAATGGGTGCTCACTGTGCTTGCTTCAGTGCTAGCGAAGTGGTGCGTTGGCTCTCATCTGGTGGTAGGGACAGGAAAGCAGGCCCCTGATCGGAGGCCCTGAGTCAACAGAGAGCCAGGTAGCCTGTTTCTTCCCCGCCTCAGACAGGACTCCAGGGATACCCCTCCAAACTGGACCCCGCAGAAGAACAGTGACGTGGGAGAGGGGTTTTCTTCACTACTGCCTCACATCAGAGTACTGTTGGTGCAGAGACACACAGGTCATACTTGTGCTTGCGTATGTGTGCACGCATGTGTACGTGTGGCACAGCAAGAGGTGCTCCAAGGAGCCTACAGGGCACGTAGAGACCCACGGCCACCATCAAGTACAATTCTCCAGGCTTTGCCTTTGATAACAAAGCCATCTCGACTTGGCTTGGCAAACAGATCACACCGGATTAAAGACCGAAAGCAGCCGGCACACTGCGCCAACTTCAGTGGTGTTGGCCGCGCCCCCAGCACTGTTTACTGGATACCTGGACTCAGCAGCCTGAAGGCCCTGCCAGTTTGCCAGCCCCTAAAGCTGCCTTGTGGTTCCTGAGTCAGATCAACCTTTCTCTGATCAGGGACCAAGGATGAAATCGATTATCGGTCAGTAGCTAGATGGGCAGCTATTTCATCAATAAACATACAGATACATAAACCCCACTGGCCAAGACCATTCTGTGCCTGCATCACATTTGTCCCCTCCCTAGTTCCATGCAGTCCCCAGATCTGGGCTGACAAGATGGCTGGGTGGGTAAAGGTGCTTGCTGCAAAGCTGGATGAACTGAGTTTGGTCCCTAGATCGCACATGGTAGACGGACACCTGAAGTCACACCCTATCCTCCAACTCCAACAAATATTAATGCAAAGTCCCAGGATGTGTACAGGAATCACACACAAAGCTTAGGTCCCAGCAGCACCCTGCCTGCCTATACACAGTGCTTCCCTGGGGTCATCCCAGCTCTGAGGATAGCAACTGCCACCTTCTAGAGTTACATACACACACATACACACACACCCTCAGATTGATCACACACACAACACCTCATATCCATTACATAGACACACACACACACCACCTCAGATCTATTACACACACACACACACGCACGCACACACACACCCTCAGATCGATCACACACACACACCCTCAGATCGATCACACACACAACACCTCAGATCCATTACATACACACACAAAACCTCAAATCCATCACACACAACCTCAGATCCATCACACACACACACACACTCCACCTCAGATCTATTACACACACACGCACACACATGCAAGCATGCACACACGCCACAGGCCATCCCATCCATCAGCCAAGCCTGTTGCTCCCAGCCGAAGCACACTGCTGTCAGGGCTTCTCTACCTCCCTGACAAACTCATTTACAGATCTCTTCCAAGTCGCTCAGTGCTCCTGCTTGTGTGACTGCCATGGTGTCCTACCTGGTTTCACTCAACCCTTGCTCACCAGAGTCCAAATTTGACACAGCAAACGTCCAGGAGTGAATTATATAAAAGGGGGGCAGCTCACATCACTCATGTATGGAAAACCTTCCTGTGGGCCCTCATTTCACCGAGAGTCAAAACCTGAATGAACTTGCCCCCAGCTCACTCCAAGCCTTCTCTTTTTCTTTCTCTCTTTCTTTCTCTCTCTCTCTCTCTCTCTCTCTCTCTCTCTCTCTCTCTCTCTCTCCCNTTGCCATTGTAGCCTGCAGCGCAGAAGCTTGAGGTTGCTTCTCTACCTATCATTTGCTGCTGCTGCTTCCGGTCCACAACTTTATATTTTTAGCCTTGGGCATTTCCCCTTTCTAACTTCCTTCCTTCCTTCCTTCCTTCCTTCCTTTCTTTCTTTCTTTCTTTCCTTCTTCCTTCCTTCTTTCTCTTTATAAAGCACTGTGTAGCTGAGGATGACCTTGAACTCCTGATCCTCCCAAGAGCTGGGATTACAGACAGGCGCCACCATACATGTTTGCCTTCCTTCCTCTCTTTTTTCTTCTTACATTTATTTGTTTATTTTTATGGTGTGTGTTGGGGGGCAGGGGTCAGAGGACAACTTGCAAATGTATGTGGTAATCAGAGAACATCTTTTGGAAGTCAGTTCTCTGCTTCTACCCACTTAGGTGCCTCACGTGACCTTCGAAACATTAATTTACTCTCCCTGAACCTCTGTTTCCTCATTTGTAACATGAGCAACATGATGTGTGTGTAACATCAGCCTTCTCTTACACTATAGAAGGATATATATACTCCACGGTATGGAGCCCTCCCTGAATGGACAGCTGTCTCGCTGCCACCACAGTGGCTACCCTAGAGCAGGTTCCTCCTCAGTCCTCAGGGACTCTGCACTGTGGAGAGCGTGACAGCTACAGAAGTACAGTCCCTCACATAAATGCTCATTTATGAAGCCCCCCGTGATCACATGGGTTCTGGGGCCTGAACTCAGGTCATCATGTTCGTTGGCAAGCACTTTTCTTTTTTTAAATGTGTGTTGGTGTTTTTTGCCTGCATGTGTGCCTGTGTGAAGGTGTTGAAACTCCTGGAGTTGCAATTACAGACAGTTGTGAGCTGCCATGTGGGTGCTGGGAATTGAACCCAGGTCCTCTGGAAGAGCAGCCAGTGCTCTTGACCACTGAGCCATCTCTCCAGCCCTAGTGCCAAGCACTCTTTTTTTTTTAATTTATTTGTTTATTATGTATACAATATTCTGTCTGTGTGTATGCCTGCAGGTCAGAAGAGGACACCAGACCTCATTACAGATGTTTTGAGCCACCATGTGGTTGCTGGGAATTGAACTCAGGACCTTTGGAAGAGCAGGCAATGCTCTTAACATCTCTCCAGCCCGCGCCAAGCACTCTTACAGACTGAATCATCTCACTGATCTCAGGTTTTCCTTTTCTTTTTGTTTTTATCTGTTTTGTTTTGAGACAGGGGCCACTCTTTGTGGTAGTGACTATCCTGGAGCTGAAAATGTAGACCAGGCTGGCGGCCTGAGACCCTTCTTCTTCTTCTTCTTCTTCTTCTTCTTCTTCTTCTTCTTCTTCTTCTTCTTCTTCTTCTTCTTCTTCTTCTTCTTCTTCCTTTTTTTTTTTTTTTTGAGGACGTGGTCTCAGTGGTCCAGACTGACCTGACCTTGAGCTCACTGTGTAATTGAGGTTGACTTTAAACTTCTGACCCTTCTGGTTCTGCTTTTGAGTACCTCTATACAGGTTGAGCCGGTGCTGGTGATAGAACCTGTGCCTCTGCACAAGCCTAGGTAAGTGCTCTGTCCGCCTAGCTGTGTCCCAGGTCCCACCCTACCCCAGCCCTGTACACCCCACCCTACCTCAGCCATGTACACCCCACCCTACCTCAGCCATGTACACCCCACCCTACCTCAGCCATGTACATCCCACCCTACCCCAGCCTTGTACACCCCACCCTACCCCAGCCTTGTACACCCCTGTTTCTTTTCACCAAAGGGACACAGAAGGCAAACAGTTCTCTCCTAAATGAAGCATCAGTACAGACAGCTGATCTCTCATGCATGTTCCCTGAGGACTCCATCCATTCATCAGGGAACGGAAGGGGGACCGTGCCAGGAGGGACTTGGGGTTATTCTGCAGAACGGAGGGTGACACTCTGGCATTGAGGCCCCAGAGTCGGGGGAGGAGGGAGATGCTGTAGGGGTGCCTGGGATAGAAACTCACTAAATAGAGCTCCTCTAAGATTGCCCACACAAGGTAAATCTACTCCAAAGAGCAAGCCAGAGATGACAGCACCAGCTCCTAGGACGGAATACTTCCAACACGAAACCACCAGGAAAGGCCCCCACAATTCCCCACAACAAGGTCCTTCTGTCCTGCCTGCCCTACCATCCTGTCTGCTGACAGACAGACCTGCAGAGTTGTGGGGATGGAGGAAGCTGCAGGCTTAGCCGCGCCCGTCATTGAAAGACTGTTAATGGGGCTGTACTGCGGAAACCGCACTTAGGAAGCTTCCAGATTCCCAGCTAGAGAGATAAGAGCACTCACCGGGCAGCGCCTCTCTGGCTCTACAGGAATGCGTTGGGACAGAAGCCACTTTGGGCCACGAGGACCTAAAGAAGCAAAAAGACAGTGCAGTTAGGAAAGTGAACCCAGTTCCAAGGCGGCTGTCTTTGGGGCTCCTAGGAGCATACCTCTCCACCTTCCCTCCCAAGGAGGAATGCCCTCCCTCCTTCAGAGAAGGGGTGGCAGTCTTGGGATGTCCCTGAAGGACCCTGCTTCTCACCAACAACATATGAATACCAGTGTCTCCGACAGACAGACGTGCCAACTTGTGGAGAGAGGTGGATCCGAGGTGACCCAAGTGTGGCTCTAGGGACACTAAGCTGAGCAGAGGTGCTCAGTAAGGTCAGCTGGATTCCTCCTGAACCTGCTGGGTGGCCTGAGTGGCTGGTGGGTCAAGGTCAACTGGAAGGTCACAGATAAGCTCCATCCCCCGTCACAATTCCCTTTACTTTCCCTTGGAGGTAGAGCCCAGTCTCCCACACCCCAGCCAAGACCGCTATTGACTGGCTTACGACTCCAGCCCTTTAGAGTTTTGTTTTTGTTTTTCGGGGGTGAGTGGAAGTATTAATTTGAGACAGAAGCTCACTAAATAGCTCAGGTGGCTTTGAACTTTTGGTCCTCCTGCTTCAGCCTTCTGAGTAGCTGGAATCTCAGACACGCATCAGCTCCCTTACGCAATTTTATCACGAGCTGGATCTATCTGATTCCCGTTTGGAAGAAAAGCCAAGATTGTGTATTTAGAAGAAATTACACGGTGGTGCAAGCCTTTAATCCCAGCACTCGGGAGGCAGAGAAGGTGGAGCTCTATGAATTTGAGGTCAGCCTGGTCTACAAAAGTTAGCTTCAGGACAGGCTCCAAAGCTACAGAGAAACCCCGTCTTGAGAAAAGCCAAAAAAAGAAAGAAAAAAAAAGGAAAAAAAAAGGAAAAGAAAATTACTTATGCATTTATGCTGGTTATTGATGTGAAATAACCAAAATTTGCCCGATATGGTTTCACACGCCTTTAATCTCAGCACTTTGGAGGGAGAGGGAGAGGCAGACAGATGTCTGTGAGTTCAAGACCAGCCTGGTCTGCCTAGTGAGTTCTGCAGATAGATGTCTGTGAGTTCAAGACCAGCCTGGTCTGCCTAGTGAGTTCCAAGCTAGAAACTACATATCGTGACCCTGTCTTAAACAAACAAACGAACAAACAGCCCCCCAAAAACCAAAAATCCTATTATGCAGGGGAAGCCTAGACTCTTGGAGACTTTGCATGGGCTATTTACAAGATTTGGGCTGCAGGACAAGGTGACTTTTGGATCACAAATGGGATATGAGGAGGGGGGGCACAGTATTTTAGATGACACGAGGCATTGAGGCCACCGCCACATCTTAGGGGACTTGAGATGTTAACAAAGAAAGAGATGTCAAAACACCATTGGAAACCCCGCCTGATTAAAACATTGAAATGGACCACTTTCCTCCCGTCTAGCTGAAGCACAGTAATTGTGCTGTTAACTCAGAGCCCTATAAAGCACACCAGGCCCAGGAGAACAGCCCCACCCCCAGCAGATAGCCCTGCAGCAAGATGCGCGAG